TGGTGATGTTCATTTTGTTTATTTTCTTTCATCATTAATTCTCCCTTTCTGTCAGACAAAGAATTCTTTATTTAAAAAAATAACTTCAGTCGTTTAAAGTCTTTTAGTTCTTCATGAACTATGTTTGATTAGTCAGGCAGAAGAAAACTGCTGTGGCACAGCAGATAAACATCAGTGAGATCAGTATAGGGTATATCATCAAATTTGTTAAGACTGAGAACCTTTAAGCTGATATAGTCCACCACAGAGATATTTTTTTTCCTCTGAACTTTGGTCATGTTTTCATTAAAATTACTTATTATTTAACATTCCTGAACAGGTTCTCTTACTGCACTTAAATACAAGATTCATTCACACTAAATTAATAATGCCTTTTCACTGTCTTTTCCCTCCTGTCCATATTGAATATACTGTAACTGTGATTTATGCCTCTGCTCGGTGTTTGTTGTGCAGATATACACTGGCAGCGCAGGACCTGCTTATGAGGTCAAGGGGGGTGCTGAAGGAGCGTGGCTGGCGGCTACCCAACGATAGACTGGGCTCTGGTGATGACATCACTGTGTTTGTCATCCCACTGGTAGGGCATGAGTCAGAGACATGACGAGGTTGTAGCCACCACTATGACAGAGCTGACTCTTTAGGGCCCTTCCCATGGTCCTCCCTCTTTCAGCTCCCTAAACCCCGGACCAGTGGTGCAGTGGGAGAAGAAAACATCTTTGTCATAGCGAAGACTCGGGTCTGACCAGCACCTTCATCAACCTACCATATGAGACCCAGTCCCTTCACTTCATCTTAAACCAGGAACTGTCTCCCATCTGCTTTGGTTGGTCCTCAGTCATGCAACTAAACATGTTCAGTGACATTAAAGTATTTTCTCCCAAACCTGCTGTTTGTGACAGTTGCCAGTGAGAATTAAACCCTCGTTGTACTTTTCTTTCTTGTTTATGTTTGAGACTAAGCAGTTACTCCAACCTTAAATGGATTGTTCATTTTAATGTTGTGCCCTAATAGTGAATACCTTTTTAAAAATTAAAATTTAAAAAAAGAATCAATCATACAATGTAAAGGGGATTGCAATAGAGAATGTGAGGAAACCAAAGAGATGCTCCCAAGGCACAAGGATGGCAAATCAGATACAGAATAAACAGCAAAAACAATCATCAGGTTCTTGTTGTTGCATTAAAGAAGGAAAAAGAGAATTAGTTAACATGCAGAATCAACTGAATCTTGGTTGAAGGATTTCTTTCTCAGTAACAAATGAATGACAACACCTGAGGCACTTGAAGACTGTTGCACATGCTCTGTGGTAGCCTGTTGATTTCATGATATCTTTTAAATGAATGTGCTCCTATATGACTTCCTTCTTTTTGTCATTGCAGTGAAGAAATATGAAGCTTTTTTTGTTGAAAAAACAAGAATCATTTGTATAATTTAACTATAATTAAACGTTTTTCTTTGTTTAATATTTAAATGAGAAAGTAAATTGTTCTCCATAATTGTCTCGGTATAGTAAGATGTGATAAACTTCACATATATGCCTTATTGAAACATGAAAGGGACTCGAGAGTTTTTTTCTTCAAATGCACTAAATTTGACCCTTGTAGAAGAGGCAAAAAAATATATATTGTATGCCCTTAAATGTACTACATACCTCTTTTATACCATTTTGGTTATGTCACGTTGTTCTTTAGATTATGCATATATTTTTAAAGATACCTTTGGTTGTAAGCAGTATCAGATGTTTTATTTTTATGTTTCTATCCATAACTCTTTGTTCAGATAGTGTGTCCCCGACTATGAGCTACCTAAATGTGTAGTGGAGGGATAATGTGTTCCAGTTAAGAAATAAATCAGATTTTTCCCATTTATTTTGAGTGTGCTTGTGTCACTAACTCCCAGTCTCCTTATTTATCAAAAGGAAATGAACCTTTGTCGCAGCAAACTGATGAGTCACAATAGTTCAGGGAGCAGTTAATGTTCTAGTTAGATGAGACTTAGGTTCCTCAATAAATCTGTTACTCCTTTTAATACAAGCTGAACTTTTGAATACAACAAACTTTTAAAAAAATATGCTTGAACTGTTTCAAAAGAAGCAAAGAATTTATATATTAATGTACAACCTCAATGTCAAAAAAAATTGGGGATCCCGTGTAAATCTCTTAAACCCATATTTGATTCACAGTAGAACACAGGGAACATATAAAATGTTTCAAGTGAGAAAATGTACTAGTTTAGGAAAACAAAAAAAAGTTCACTTTGAATGTAGAGGTACCAACATGTCTATAAAAGGTTGGGATGGGGTTGTTTACCACCATGAAGCATTTCCTCTTTTTTTTTAGCAATCGTCTGTAAACATCTGGGAACTGGAGAGACCAGCTGCTGGAGTTCTGAGAGAGGGAAATTGCCCTATTCTTGTCTGACACAACTCTTGCTGCTCAGCAGTCCTGTTGGGCAGCTTTGTTAGATTTCTTGCTTTTCCAAATGTCTTCAGTTGGTCAAAAGACGTTGAAATAGCTCCAGTATACAGTTCAGCACTGTATTACTGAAATATGTGTTAATAACAATCTGGAAAGTCCTTCCTCGTTAGTGTGGAGTACACAGTGTCCATGTTTCCCAAAAAGAAGTTGAGATTTCAGTTCGTCTGACCACTCTGCCTCCGTCCATTTTAAATGAACTTTGCCGTAAACAAAAGAGCAACGTCCAGAAGTGATTTCTGACCGTATTCCTTACACACAGAGATTTCTCCAGATCCTCTGAGTCTTTTGATGTCATTTACTTGATGATTCAAAGGTGTCACAATTTTATGTTAAGGAACTTTTTTTTCTTGAAAATGTTCCACAATTTATATTTGCATTTTGCCCTTTTTTGCATTTTGAAACTCTGCCCTGCTAGAATGCTGTTTTTGTGACTCGGTCGTGTTGCTAACATGTTGCCAGTTAACCTAATAAGTAGAGCTGTTTCTTTTTAGTATACTTTTAGAGTCTTTTATTAACCCCATGCCAACTTTTTCAGTCATGTTACTGCCATCACATTCAGTAACATTCAAAACATTTTAAACATTTGATATATTTTCCACGATCCACTGTTAATAAAATATGGGTTTCTGGGATTTACAAATCAATGTATTTTGTTTTCATTCCCATTTTACACAGTGTTCAGCTTTTGTGGAAACAGGGTCCTTGGTTCGTTATTGACATGAGTACTAAGCATTTGAGTGGTAAATGGTAAATGGCCTGCATTTGTATAGTGCTTTACTCAGTCCCTAAAGACCCCAAAGTGCTTACACTACATTCAGTCATTCACCCATTCACACACACACAAACACTGGCAATGGCAAGCTACATTGTAGCCACAGCTGCCCTGGGGCGCACTGAGAGAGGCAAGGCTGCTGGACACTGGCGCCACCGGGCCCTCTGACCACCACCAGTAGGCAAACATGGGGTTAGTATCTTGCCCAAGGATATTTGGCATGCAGCCAGGAGGCAGCCTGGGATCGAACCACCAACCTTCTGATTAGTGGCTGACCTGCTCTGCCACCTGAGCTACAGCCACTCCATGTGTAGTAGAATAAGAGTTAAAAAAAATAGGAACGATAGGAATTCTGTCAATTCCTGACCCATTTATTTTGAATTGAACTGATGACCCTTTGTCACATTCTGCAGTTTCACTGATGACCATAAAAATAAGTTATTGCTTGTATTTTACTTATATTTGTCTACCAGAAAGTAAAAGAAATCAAAAGCATGTTATCCCACAGAACACTTGTGTATACTGTCAATTTTATCCACAAGAGGTCTAACAATCTTACAAACCTAAAACCAATACAATATGCCATTTTACACTACTTCTGAAACACTTCAAAAGTTTGGAATTACATTAGGAATTACTTCAGTTACAGAAGAAAACTCAAGCAGAATGGAAAATCAATTTGAGCTAAAGTCCCTGGGACCATAAGGAATTGTAGGTCTTTTGTAAAGAAATAATTATGGACTGCAAGTAAAAGCTTACTCACTTGGATATATAGGAAGATGCACTTAGTAGCGACTGGCACCTTTATGAATTATGTAATTATAAGCAATAAACATTTAGTTGTTTGTTGATGTACTTGTCAACAACTGAAACTCCTCAGAGGAAACAGTAAGATCCCATTTGTAATTTTCAAAAACACAGCGTGACTTAATGTCAGAATTATTAAAAGTACACTAACAAACAGAAACATGTGTGCACTTATATGTGTTTCCGGAAGTGGTTTTTCACATGTGACCAGTGGAGGTTATAACAGAGGGCTACACTGGCGAGATCCACACCCATCCCTCCTGTTGCACGAGTCTTCTTGTACTACGGATGATGTCATCTTTGACTGGGAAGGGGAGGAGGGACCCCGGTGCCTCCAGTGCCTGCAGAATCTGCATCAAGCTAGTGTGAGGTAACTAGAGAGAAACAGGAAACACGACCATCTGTCTTCAAAATCAAGCAAGTTTTTGAGTGTTCGATTTAATTTGATACGAATTCTTGATGACATAACGGCTAATGGTGGGCAGTGCAACAAGATTTAAATGCAAGAATAAATTTTTTTTTAAAAAGCCAGAAGTTTTTGTTTGTGTAATTGTTTGTTTTGTTTTTTGTTTTGTTTGCATATTTCGTTTGTTTTTTCAGTTATGTGGCCATTAAGCATTTTGTATTTCTAAACTTTTCAACACAGATAACCCCTGTTAGCTGGGCTTGACTACCAGTTACATAATGGGCAACTGCCCCATCAGACTTGAAAATTTGTGAAATTAAATGGAATGTGCAAAACGGAAAAACAAGGTAAACTTCGATGACAAGGGGAAAAAACTATTTTTTCTTGGATTCACAAAAGTTTACATTCTATCATTTATTTATTTCCAAAGCACAAAAAAGGGAAAAGTCAAGAAGCCGCAAGCTGACCCATTTATTTTGAAAGGCTTGACCGGAGGTGGTTGAAGGTTTGCCTAGCTCGTAGCTTTTGTCAGTGGGAGGATCTCTGCTTGCCTGCCCCGTTTCTCAACACCCACTCTGTAAATTTAGCGAACACTGCAGCAAGAAGTGTGTCTGTGTGTGTCACGATCAAGAGGAAGGAGCAAGCAGGGATTAAGATTAATTAAAACCTCTCGTCCGGCTGGTGACAGGTAAATACGAACCGGAGCCTGTGGTTTGACTCAAAATTCTTATTTGACACAATCCGACTGTCTAATTATAGCTCACTTACTTGGGTGAAAGGGACAAGGTGGTGGCTTTTTCTCCTACTAACATTCGCCTTTTCTCGGGTGGATGACACTTTAATTCCTGACATCGCTGTAATTTACAGTAAGGTCTAAGCAGCGAGGTTGTAGTTGGCGGGGTGTGTTTCTGTACAACTGTTGATAGCTTCATTGCTGGTAGTTTAAAAGTGACGGCACCAGATCAGATCCCGTCGGTATGTTCTCACTGTTCCAAGTGCTGCGACCTCAATAAGGCTAAGCAGCTCCTTATGGCAAATTTCCAAGTGTACCATTCCTGGGAACACTTAATTTTCTCATTGTTATGATTCAGGTTTCCTGTTTAAACTACAAACAGTGCTTTTGAAATATACTGAAAGAAATGTGGAGGATGAACTTTGGACTAAAAATTTGTAAATAAGTGAAAATCCAGCCCTGTTAATGGGGATTTAAATAATCTACAATAGAGAAACATATATTGGATAACCTCATACATGTTTTCCTTAGTTTGTTGAAATTAATTAGAAAGCTAACCAGAATTCTTGATGCACCTGAGTCAGCTGACTGGTCTGCAGTCTGAAAGCCAATAGTAGCTTTTAGCACTTTTCTCTATTCTGATTGTTCTTTCTATCCTCAATTTCGTTGTTTGCCAGTGTGAAGTGAAAGGCATTTCTGGCAGATTTATACCTCTAATATTGGAATGTCTTTGAAATGTAGATACCACATGTGTACTAAATGATTAGTCCCTTGGATGGGTGCAGTGATTTATCACCAGGTGGCCTGGAAGTCATTAGAGACTTCTTCTCTATCACTAAACTAGGCTGTCTGGCTGTAGTTTCAGATTCATCTGCTGAATCTCAGGAAGAAAGCAACTTGGCTTTTATCTCAAAATCTCAAGGCAGCTCTTCAAGACATTAAAATCTCTTTACGTTCAGTTTAGAATATGGATTTTTTTTTTAAAAACTCTGGCCGTCTAAATGGCAGATTACAGTTCGTGTGAACTACCTGCAGGGTTTTGTTTTGTTTGTTTTTTTGTTATGTTTTTTCAAAAAGTGTGAAAATTGTTTAAGCAGCTAAGTCTCATTTATGCTAACCCATGGTACACATGAAGTTCATCCATCCATCCATCCATCCATCCTCTTCCACTTATCCAATTCAGGGTCACAGCAGGGCCTATTCCAGCTACATATGAAGTTGTAATTCTAATTTTCTTTTAATTTGATTTTGAAGACAATCCAAGTGCTGTTGCCCATGAATGGAATACTTGACTGGTCTGTTGACAGACAGACCAGTTGCTCTGTCATCAAGCGAAAAACAAAATGTAAACACTTTTTTAAAGTTTCACAATTATTGAAATATCTTTGAATTTTGTAGAGAACAAGATATGTGAAGTTGGAATTCCACAAATTTTAAGAATCAAGTTATTGTTTTGTTTGTTTTTTAATATTAATAGTTTATTTTTGATCAAATGATTTTAAAATAAATATCTTTTAGGTTTGGACTCTCCCGTGTAGGAACTCATTAGCTAGCCTTGTGGCTTAGCCTCTTTGGGCAATGACACTTTCATTTCTGTCCACCAGTCAATGTTTAGAAATGCAAATACATTTTATAAAAGTTAATAAAAAGCATCAGTGCCTTCAGGTAACAGACAATTGTTCTCCATTGCAAGTTGGCAAATGGCATCCCTCTTTTGACTGTTTACCTGTATGCAAACGAAGCTTGTTCAAATATATTTTGTAAACTAGCACTTGGAATATAAACAGAAAATTTCCACTACCAAAAAACTCTGTCCTTCTTACCTACAGATTCTAGAAATGCTCATAGAGATCGTGAAGTGCCAGTGAGAAAGAAAACAGCCTGAAAGCTTAGGCTGTGCTCTGAATAACTGACAAATTTCTACTATTGCAAGCCAATCAATTACTCATTTATTTGAGAAAATATTGGGCAAGTATTGAGTAGTTATTATCATTATTATGACTTTAAAGATTAGAACAGTTGGCTTCTAAAGGAACAGACAAAAAACAAACTCGGGGAAACTCAGTCCTCTTGGCCAACAAGTCATCCCTGTTTGGCTGCTCATGACCTGAGTTACTGAAGAGAAGTGAGTCCTATGGTACTTGTTCTCTCTCAGTGCATCCGCTGCTTCTTGCCTTAGTTTGCCAGCTGACTGAACTCTGTGGTCTTCTCCTACTTCCTCTCAGCAGGCTTCAAGAGCAAGAGTGTCTTCCTTTGTACTTTTAAAGTCGTGGCTGCTTGACAGAAGCAATCTATCTAGGTCATTAATCTGGGAATGCCCAGCTGATTATGGTGCTCAAACAAGTTTTTGCTGCATGAGACTCCACCTATGTAATTGTGTTGAAACTGCAAACACCTGAAGGAACCTTATTTGCTTTTCTGATCACATGCTTATACTGTTGTTATGAAGCGATAGGCAGTTAGTTTAGTTTATTAAAATCAACCTTCCAGACTCTGCTAGGCCATAACTTTGGCTTAAAGCCATGATTTTCCTGATCTCTTTATCACAAAGCGACCTAAAAGTTGGTACAACTTGGTACAAACCTGCAGAACTGCAGCAAGAAAAAAACATAACTTATTTCCCAAAATGTCAACAGTCCTTTAATGCATAAAAATCTCTGTTTAGTTTACAGTCACCTGGTCGTCTTCATATGGATTAATTGTCCATTGCTGTTAAGAGGCCTAACGAAAGATATCATATTTGTTTTTTGGTTTGTTTGTTTTTTAATGTCTTGGGCATAGCTGATTTTGGCACATTTGACCATTTCCTTGGGTGTAGCATATGGTCATGACTCGGTGAGACTCAGGAGCTGGGGTTTTTGTGCCCAAAGAATGTGAGAGGCTGACTTGATCTCCTCTGTGTGTTCCTGCTCTTGTGCAATGCAGATCGACATTGAAACATTTCGGTTTTTTGCGCTGTAGTCAACAGCTTATAGTAAGAGGGCTATATTTGATCAATAAGTACTAGATATGAAATGGCTTGAAGGTCTCTTTCAAATTCCTCCGTGTAATCTTTAATCTTGGTAGATGAGATGTGTGTAGGTGGTGCTGACAGCTGGTCCTGCGGGCTGTCTGCTCTATGTCATACACAGCCTTTGCCAGTTTATGAACTTTGCCCCATTTCTTAGGTTGCCTCGTGCAGAGGTGCAGCTAATTCCTGGGTGCCCTTAGATCTAAAGGTTTCTGGACTGTTTCAGGACTGCACCTCTTGAGGATAGAAGGCACAAGTTGTCTGTTATTGTGAGTTGCGGTTCAGGTGCAGAAGTTGCTTGAGGACATTTTTGTAAAAGGCAAGCCCCTGAAGTACATTAAAAGGCCTTTTTCTTCTGTAGTTTGGAGCTACTCTGAAGGCATTCAGGCTAGATGGGAATGAATGTTTCTCTGTCAAACTGAGTCAAAATCCAGTCTGGCTTTTATTATTCTGTTAGTTATAAAACCTGTTTCTACAACCAGAGTTGGACAGAGCTCCTTGACAACTCCTGTCTGTGTCAGATTTTTTTTTCTTTTACTGTAGTGCACACTATCAGTCCTGTGAGCTTGTTATATGTGCAAAACAATCCTGATGGGATTCATTTCCTGTTATATGTTTGCAGGACATGAGAACAAAAAGTCATCATCGCTGTAGTCTCAGGAACAACATGTTTGTTAATAGCTGGATGTTCGTGTATGTTCAGCATTGTTGTTGATATCAAACTCACATGAGCAGAGAGAGGCAGCTCTACCTCAGCGGTCAGGGTCACGCTCTACTCTGCAGTAACTCTGTTCAGCTTGTTGCATAACTCCTGTTGGCCCTTAAGCCTCAGGAAACCTCCTTAGAGAAGGATTGAGGTGGCGTGTTCATTAACCCGGGGCATTGCTCAAATAGTTGTACAGAGTAATGGTGCTTTGCTTTCCCTTTTAATGGTTGTCTTTGGACCAAGTCTTATGACCCAAGTCTTAGACTTAAGACTTAAGTCTTGTTTAACACTTTATCCCCTTCATAAGGACACTATGCTAAAAATATTTATTCGTGTTTGTTGAATTTTGGTTTGTATTTAACCCCTGTTTCATGATGAAATAATAAAATAAATAAAAAATACATGATAAGTTATTAGAATCATTTTCCGTTCATTGACTGGATAATTAAATCTAGGTCATTTATACCTCTTGATTATATGTGAACAGCTTACCAACTGAAATATTTATCATAATTATTTAAACTTTAATACTTTTCTCTTTTTTTGTGGATGAACAAACAAGATATTCTTACATGTTGGGGGATTTGGAGAGTAAGTGGATTTTGTTACCTTTGGACAGAGTGGCATAAGCTGTTTTTCCCTTAATTCCAGCCTTGAGGTAATTCTGTCAGTACTATCCCTTCATATTAACAGACAGTATAATGTTAGCAGTTCACTCTTATTACCCTTAACAGTATTACTGTTAAATGCATAGCATTTGTAGCCTAATCTAATTTTCAATGCCTGCTACTAGACTGGCCTTTTGAGATACCTACAACTTGACAACAAATACATAAGAGACCATAAAAATGCAAGCTATTGCTTCAGAGCAGTGGGTTTTAATCTTTTTGTGCCAATTTCCAGGCTTCACAGGAAAACCATTTGTCATGTGTTTGTTTTCTTGGTAAATTGTTTGTATGTAGATAATTGTCATTTTTGTGCTGTTCTTTGTTATTAACCAGGAAAGTGGTCACTGCATTTCTTGACACCAAGTGCAAACAGTAGAGTGGAAATTGTTCCTCGGTTGCTTTTGGGCTGATTTGTCTTAGCATGAGATGAACTGTGAAAAATTAAATGTAGCCTATAGTAGTGCAATTTTTTTTTTTTTTTTTTTCCCCCTGTTTTCCTTCAGGGACCACATAACGCGTTAGCAAGAACATTGTCTTTACAGCATGGCTCACAGTGTAATGCAGAAATATTATAAAGTCCCGATAGACAGGATATTGTTCATTCTTTTCAGATTTTTCTTGTAGTTTAATGAAATCAATCTTTTTCTTCAGGCCTGCATTTCAGTGAAATAATATGGAAAGGGACTCGTTGGTTTGAACAGCTATTAACGCAGTCTGCGACCAGGAGTTGTATTGTTTCAACAGAACTCGGCCCTTTATGAAAACAACACAAGGTTCAATGGCAGCTTGTTGCCCCAGAGGCATAAAATACAATCCAGGAAGTCTAGATTTGGTAACAGATCTGTGAACATGAAGGTATTTCAGAGCCCAAAACAATAGCAGCAGCACTATGAGAAAATACCATGGAACTGTGGAAAGTTACCGTGGTGGTAATTATTTTTTAACTTATTCCACTTGAAATGATCCCTTGGAATTAAGGGATTGGCTACCAGAGCGCCTCAGTAGGAGACATTATGTTGCACTGTGAAGTGCAGTCACAATGAATTTTTGCAGGCACCCTAGCTTCATAACTAGAAGGATATTTTTCAAATAAACAAACAGGCTGCTTTTGAGGTTACCCAGAATGCAACCTTGCCTTTTTTTTTCTTTTTTCTTTTCTTCTTCTTCAAAGGGTCACGACCTTGCTTTGAGAGTTTGACGGGAAAAATTAAAATTTCAGGATCATCTCACTAGATAAAAGATGAATGTTGGCTTTTCTTCCAAGTAACTCAATCTTGACTCTAAGGTCAGTTAATTAAAGTTGCTTTGGTGTCATCCTGTGTTGTTTTGTTTGTTTTTTCAGGTAGTGTGCTTCTTTGATGTAAATAAAACGGATGGTCCTCAGCCAGCTCCACCATGATAGTTGAGTTTTTATGAACGTATTCCAGTAATATCTCTGTGCACGTTCAGATGCCTCGAGTTACATTGTGTACAGTCAAAGATATATATGCCAGTTTATTTTGGCTTTTCCACAGCTTTCAGTAAGAGTGTTAATTTTTTTTAGTAACAACTGCACCTGCATCCAGTGGGGTTTCTAGTCAGACACTAGTTGTGGTAAGCGATGCTCAAACATGTTTTAATTGAATCAGGGTAAGAAGAGACTTCAGTATGAACGTGGAGAGGATGAGCTAAAGTTTTTTCCATGTTGAATCATGTTGAACAGGTGTCATCTAGAGGATGGAGCAAAATCGATTTCTACTAGCAACCACCTGCCTCTTTAGTAGTTGCTGTCATTAGTATCCATTAGTCCCTAAATTGAGAGCATCAGTCATAGACAGCCTGAGGATTTGGCACCATTTGTGACTATATGGGACATTTTCACGCATAATTTCCTTTTGTCAACGTGTCAAGATGTTCTCTCACAGGCTGCTAATATCAATAGGAAGAACTCAATGTGCAGCTCCAAAGAGCAACTGTGTACATGTGGATGTATGTGAATGTAGGCAAACGTCTGTGCTTGCTTGCACGCGTTGCCTCTGGCTGCTCCCTCCATGCTCCGGCTCTGCCGAGGCCTGTCCAAACAGAACTACAGCCAAAAAAGCTCCTCCCAGGCTCCACAGAACAGGAAGTGGGTTGTTTTGTTTCACAGAGGCCTCTGTGCTGCTGTCTCCCACTTGTTTGGCTCTGAACCCATCATCTAGTTGAGAGTATCTCTGGTCCATTTGGCAGTCTCTGAAAAGCAAAAGATGCTGTGTGGTGTCTGTTGAGAAGTATCAGGCACTCTTCAATGCAGCTCATTATTTTTTGTTGTTCTTTTATAGCTGTCAAAGCCTTTTTTTTTTTTTTTTGTTCTTCATGAGCATATTAAACATGCAGAATAACTGAAGTGAGTAAATGGAGTGAGCAGCCTAAATTCAAACTTAAGTATTTGGTGCAGCTTAACAAAAGCTTTGCAGCTGCAGCACGGTTTGTGGGAAGTGTAGGAGTGGGTCCTTGGGCAAAAGACAGAAAATATGATCATACCCATGACCACAATTTCCATAGCAAGAAACAAGTAACCAAGTTGTTATTAAAACTGTCAACCGCCAAACACCCAAAGTTTCCTCCTGGTTATGCCAAGTTTTCATATGCATGGTAATGGAGCTGACAAGTAATTCATTCACTTACCCTTTTCATTTTGCTCTTTCCAGAGCAAAACTACTGATTCGGCCTATTTATTTCTTAACCATGTCCATGTAATTTTATTTTAATAATTGTACGTACTTCCACAGACTGTATTTAAATGAGCTGTTGCCTGATTCGAGGTCAGCTGGTTAGGTGCTGATAGAGATGTTTACTGGCAAAAGTGGTCAATGGAGGATTTACTCAAAAAGTCAAGGCAATATGAGGTTTTCTGGGTACCTTATGCTTCAACTCGTGTCCACTTGGAAAAAAGCTGAAACGAATTATAAAAAGTAGCTCCACATGGCTGATTACCGTCAGCAACACATGGTGAAATGCAATTAAATTTCCACATTGTAATGCTATTTCTTAACCCAGGTGTTTACCACAACATAGAATGGGCAGTTAACCAGCTGTCAGCTCTTTTTCCTTCACTGAAATTGCCTCAATTTTACTGGCTGTTGTTTGACCTCTAATTTCTTTGCTTTTTCTGGAAGTCCCATGTCACCCTTACTCTCCAACTTCTAAATATTTCTGCAGCCACAACCCATTCAGATAATTAGTTGTGCTTGGGGTTTTTTTTGGTTAAAATCCCTGGTTTCAGATACTCAGATCTGAAATTCTGTCAGTTTCTTCGTCTTCTGACTGTAAACTGTAATTATTTCTCCACATTTCCAAACACAGCGAACTAATTGCTAGTGATAACCTGCCACAGCATTAACTTTAGGGATGGGTATTATCAAACAGTCTGCAAATTATTCCTGTAGTAAAATCTGTACAATCTGTGGTGTCCCGTTTTCATTTTTCTTGTGTTTGTAAACGGATGAGATGCTAAACAAGCTTATTATTTTTATGGTTATTTTATGACTTGTTAAAAGGTATTCAGAAGATTAATTTTGCACATCTCCCCCAGCTCTGCATGAAATAAATCATGTCTAACAACAAGCCATCCTGATGATACGATATGAAACCAGCAACAGTTTAAATAATGACCTCAGTCTGTGTTTCATTGTGACGTCTGAAGAATGGCTTGATGCTGCTTATTGAAAGCACTGGTGTTGCCATGCATCTGAGCAGCAATTAAAAGTGGGCGTTGGGGCAGACTCGACTTAAAGTTTTGCCTGTAGCACAGAAAGATGAATTTCCCCTGATAAGTCGGTGCCCCTCGTGAAGAGTATTAGTGTCAAGACTGTCTGGCAGAAGGTGGATGAGGTGAGGAGCCAAATGACTATATGCACAGCTGCTCCCAGGCAGCAGGGCTCCAGCTCATCCATCAGCTGCACTGCTAACTCATCTCCATGCATCCCCAAACACACCAGCTGAACTAGTCTTCTGACCTGGGGATACTCCATAATGTTTCTTGATGGTTTGTGCACAAAAACTTGCAAAGCTTCTTAAAGCATAGGTATAACATTTAATTGATTTTGATTTAGGGCTAGGATGCCTGCACAGTACACACATGGAAACAAAATGAGTTTAGTGTTTTGGCTTTTTTAGGATGCCACCAACTACTCTAATTTCCTTACACTTTTCTCCTCCTTGCAAGCCAGCAGAGGATGATAACAAATCCCTTCATTTCCTAGCTTGTCTCAACATGTCTTTTATTCCTCTCCTTCACTCCAGTCTCATCCTCCATCTCTTCTGTTTGTGTGGCTTTGTAGACTAGATTTGGCATTGGGGATTCAAGGTCTGTGACTGCATTTTGCCGTGACAGTATGTAGATCAGAGCTTTCCCGAAGGTGTAATGCCGTACGGTCTGTCAGAAATGTCAGAGTGGTTGCTTTGGAGCTACACTGCTTGAGCAAGGAAAAAAAGCACTGCGTTCTTGATTTATCTTATGATCCCTACAAATAATTTAAATAACTACTATGTAAAATCCACAAATAGATGAGACGGTTAATGTGTTGTTTGACTTCAGGCAGACATGTTTTGAAGAACTTCTTGTTGTTCTCCCAACAGAAATGGCAGCCATTCGGAAGAAGCTGGTGATTGTTGGAGACGGAGCTTGTGGGAAAACATGTCTTCTCATTGTTTTCAGTAAAGATCAGTTTCCCGAAGTCTATGTCCCTACTGTGTTCGAGAACTACATCGCTGACATCGAGGTTGACGGAAAACAGGTTTGTGCTATTTACACAAAAACTGACTCGATTAAAGTGATGCTCTCTCTCGTCATGAACACAGAAATGCTTTTCAATTATTTAGGCTAATTATAGATTTAAGAACATGAGAGTGTAAGTAAAGTCCAATCCGCCTCAATTACTGCTGCTACTGTCAACCTCTCCCATCTCTAACACCAGACAGTTTGCACTAATGTTGCCAGACGTACTATAAACACTTGAGGTTTTTGTTTGTTTGTTTTTTTAAGTAGTTGACCAAAGTAGGCTTCTAATTATGATGATGCAACTGCTGGCTGAGAATGCAAGTGTGAAGTGGATTTTATAATATTTCAGGAGCTAGCTTTCTGAAGGACTACATTAAACTAAATTAAAACAGGCCACAGGCACCAGTTGAAAATTAAGAAGATACATTTTTCTTAATTGCGGCGTAAATATAATCTTGGTTTCCACAAATTACAAAAAAAAAATCAACACTTAATTTTTTTATTGGGGTACTCTGAAAGAGTAGTGACCTTATTAGCCAGACAAGAGATAATGTGCTATCGACACCATTGTTTACGTGTGTGTGTGCTTTTGCTCCTGGACAAGAGCTGCATGCACAGCCTTAAACAAGAGAAAACAAACCTCTGTACAGTTTTTTGTGCGTGTGACGTCTTGAATCTGAGTCATGGGAAGGTGGTGAGGGTGGAGTTTAAACTGCAGATGCCTCGTTATGTCCAATCGTTTTATTTTTCTTTCTTTAGCCGACCATCGCTACACAACTTGGCAAAACAGGAAATGACTCTACTTCCCAGCTTCCTGTTCAGACGGGGAACAGGGATGTATCTTAGCAATCCCATTCCTTCTCTCAGGATCACCATCCTCATGCTACTGCCTGATAAACGTGCCTCACTTCCTGTCCTTGTCCTGGCTGCACTTCTTAGGTGGAGGTAGGCAGGAGGTTAAAGCTCTTGTTCTGGACAGGAAATTTAAAGTTAGGGAGCCATGATGCACAGATTAGAAAGGGATCATTTTGGAAAAGATGTGAGTGTCAAGTCTTTGAGTGTCTCTATGGAGGATAACCATCCCGTCAGATTTAGCTTCTTACACAACAGGATGGATTAGATTTGTGTTCAGCCCCAAGTTTTTAGCTCCTCAACCCCCACCCCATGAGGCAAAGATGCTCTCATCGTCAGCGGACTGAGCCGATTCCACAAATAGCTGGGGGGTTTTGGGTCTTTTTCCTCCGTCTTTCCCTTCCTGAACTCTGCAGCTTACAACTAGTCCAGTGGGAACATAGAGCTCTGGTTCCTCATGCAGTCTCAACAGTGTTCGGCCACCTCCCACCTTCTGCCTCTGCAAACCTCTATTTTGGGACTGTTAACTGATTTTTGTGCTTTCTGTGGGCAGACAAAAATCTGTCATTCAGCAAAGTTCTGGTATTTAAACTTTGCAAAAGTTTCTTTTTTCTTTTTCCATTGAATCCAATGAGTCAGCTGAAGAGCAAACTCAAGGGAAGCTGGGCTGTTGATGCCCTTAGAGGGAGACACGCTAACCGGTTTGATGGTTGCTAATCTCTCACTTTCCCTAATTGAATTAATCAGTGGTGTGATGGGATGAGCCCAGTCACCAAGTTCATTTCCACAACACTGACAGCCTTACACAACTAACAGACTTACAGTATGAAGCCCTGATTAGGTCAGAGCTGCTGGGGTGATTTAAAAAAAAAAAAGAAAAAAAAGAATTCACTTTAAGATGAAGAAAGTAGTTGTAGCCAGAGGGGAAAGCGATACTATGTCGGATACTTCCAGCATTGTTTGGTTCCCCATATTTAAACCTCCAGCCTTTGGGAAGATTACTCAGATCCTCCACATGCCTCAGAATTTCTGCGTCATTGAGCAGAAGTGATGTCATGACTGGTTATATGTTGCATTCGTCTCCATTAGTGGGCAACGGTATGTTAACTGTTTACAAGATAAGTCTGTGTTTATAAAGATGAGTAATATTAAGGAGCAAAACTGCATTTGTTCTCTGTTCCAGATGAATCCATGTTTTGATGTTGTGTTTTTTCCAGGTGGAGTTGGCATTGTGGGATACCGCAGGCCAGGAAGACTATGACAGGTTGAGGCCTCTCTCTTACCCCGATACAGATGTCATCCTGATGTGCTTCTCCATTGACAGCCCAGACAGTTTAGGTGAGGAAAGAATAATGTAGAGTAGTCTGTTTTAAAATGTCATATTACAAATGATGAATAACGAAACTTATAGTACTTATAACTTATATTCCATTAAAATGATCGTTCATGAACATATTGCTCTATCTTACATAACCAAACGTAGGTCAAATAAGCGAGAGAGGGTCCTTGTAGAATACCCTAATATACTTGATGGGAAGTGGGATTAATGCAGCTAAAAACATCTTTGCCTCAAGGAGGCTGCAGAGCAATCCATCATGAGAAGTGTTCTGCACTGTGACTCTGCACTGCTTGTCCTCTTTTTATAGTTCTCCTCCCTATACTGAGTATTTCAGCTCACTTCTTGTCTTTCCTGGGACAGAAAATATCCCTGAAAAGTGGACGCCTGAGGTGAAGCACTTCTGTCCCAATGTTCCCATCATCCTGGTGGGGAACAAGAAGGACCTGAGGAACGATGAGCATACACGGAGAGAGCTAGCCAAGATGAAGCAGGTACAAAGGCCCCTGACGGTCAATGAACAGTGGAATGAGCTAATCTGATGCAGGTAGAGAGCTCTTGAAATCTCAGCCACTAAAAGGCACTGGATATGTGCTGGGTTGAAACATTTCATTTGTTAGGATTTTGTTTGACATATTTAGGCACGTGTTATTGACCCTTTAAAAAAAATAAATAAATAAATAAAAAAGGGTCATGTAGCACTACCATCCTGTGAATGTTTGCAGTCTCACATTTATTTCTAAAGAAGCTGCATGACGGATGACGTTAATCTTGCTTTTCCTGCTTCACCAGCGTACTCGGTTTAAGAACTGTCAGTTTATAGAAACACTAAAGGCCTGTGTGTAGAAATGGAAAATTCATTATTGTACAGGGTTTCAACCACATGTTTACGACATTAAACCACCAGTGTATTAACTACAGCATCAATCTCACAGCTTACTGACAGTGACAGGACTTTTCTTAATATTTTTCGACCACATCAGAACTATGACAGGACAAATGTTCTAATCCAGAACAGCATGTGAAAAGCAGAAGCCTCAGATGGCTGTACAGTCAGAGCATGAAATATGATTCAGGGAAGCTGGTTTAATTTGTCACCGAGTATGAACGCTTATCGCAAAACACAGCGTTCGTACTGCAAAGAAGATATTATGTAATTGGACACTTTCTATCAGATGGCTTTACAAAATAAAATTGAGAGAAGACAGCAGGAGGAAGAAGAATCCCTCTTCTAGGATTGGCATGCAATCATTTAGAGTAAGAAAGCAATAGAAGAATCGAAATATAGAAAATCACAATGTCAAAAATGTCAATGTCAGTAACAAGTTAAAGCATGTGTCTCTGTCAAACGGATTTCATAAGATGTAAAAGATTTCAATTTGCTAATCAAAACATACTGACATTATAAATGATATGTCAAAAAAGCAAAATGTTTTGTTTTCTGTCACCAAAAGGAGAACAGCAAAGTGAAAGCCTGAATAACATCTCAGTTTTATGTTTTCACAGTGGAATCTGTAGATGAGCTTTTCCTGTCTGTGGAAATCAAGACATCAGTAGTCAGTTCAAGAGTTTGACTCTTACATAGTAAAACAGACATTGGTTTGATATTTGTAAGATATGTGATAAATGGCTTAGACATAAAGCCATAAACCTGAGCCCTTGATTCCAAGATTTCGTTGGGTTGTTAAATGAGTCATGCCAAAAAGGCGGTGAGAGGCACATCAAACTGTGCTTATTCTCTTGTTAATAAGTATTATGGTAGTGAGGGGGTGTTTAGACTGTAGCTGTACTGTATAAAATGATTTTGTTTTATCAGCAGTTCAAATGCAAAAATACTCAGTTTACTGTCACATATATAACAAAAAAAGCAGTAAACGGTTTAAAAAAAAGAGCCTTTTTTTGCATGAAAAATAATTCATATTCTAAGTACAGTTACAGTGATAATTTTGTATTGATTCTGCTTATGGAATGACTTATTCTTGACTAATTGTTAGTGCTCTAATTTCACTTTAAAAGGGGGGGGAAAAATCAAGGATCTCCTCAGTGATATCATGATTTTCCCTGGAAAGTAAACTGAGCTCTCCTTCTTTTCTCAGCACTTTAATTGAGTCCCAAATGGTGTCTGATCTAACCCTCCAGGAGCCAGTGAAGACAGAAGAAGGCAGAGACATGGCTGGTAGGATCAGCGCTTTTGGCTACTTGGAGTGTTCTGCCAAGACGAAGGATGGTGTGCGGGAGGTGTTTGAGATGGCCACAAGAGCAGCACTGCAGGTCCGCAAGCGCAAGAAGAGAAGTGGCTGCACGGTGCTGTGAGCAGTCCAGACGCCATCAAATCAGCTGACCAATTGGAGAAAAATAACACATGAAAAAGGACTGACCTATTACCAAATGGATCTTTGTACTGTATCTCACATTTCATGACAAAGACAGGCAGATGAATTGAACATAAACAAACCTAATACAGGAAATGAACTATATGACATCTGTGGCTAGAATTTGATGTTTCCGTATTGATTTGCTTTTGTCCCTCCCAAAATCTGTCTTAACAATTTACACTTTTTTTTTTTTTTTTTAAAACTTGGCTTTGGTAGGTGCACATTTGTATGCGGTATTGTTCTTCACAAGCTTCTCGGGCAAGTGGCATCATTCTTAGCTTGTATAAATAGGCAGTTCTGTTTCACTGTAGCAGTAGCGATAGAGAATTAAAGATGATATCTTTTGACCATAAGAGCTAGTGCCTTTTTTAAGTTTATACACCACAGTCTGTTTGTCGGCGAGCTTGCATTTCGGCTGAGGACCCCTTCATTGTACTGTAGCTCATTTTACAGTGTTGTCATTGTGAAACCTGAGCAAAGCCATAAGTAAAGGCTTTCAGTGCTCGTCAAGTCAAGCACAATAAATGGTTGCTTGTGTCATTTTTTTGTTGGTATGAAACATCAGTTTCACCTTCTCCATTATGAGCCCACTCACATCGAGGATAAAGAAAGGCAGCTGCTTCTGTAATGTAATGTGTCAACAAAGGAGTGTGCTTCCCATTCTCCATAAAATTATTCACATTCGCCCCTCGTAATTGTTGCTAGAAGCTAGATGGGAGGGGAGGGAGAGGTGGCCAACTGAGACGCAAGCCAATATGACTCAACTATGCACAATAGCTGTTAGGACCAACAGGGAGATGACACAAGTGGAATCACATGTAGGCCACGGCCTGGTGAACCCTCCCTTGTTTGTTTATTATGAGTGACTGAGTTCAGCTCTTTTTGCTAAGTTAACTGGTTACACCCGTTATTGGAATCTTGTTTGTGATGCTGGTTAGCCCAGTCATGGAAATCGCATCCTGTTAGGCTGGATGTTTCCAGTTGGACGACATTCTTCACATGTCTGAGAAGAGCCACAGTGTGTGTGAGTGAGTCTTTTGTTTTTTTTCCTGGTGCCTTCTCTGTTCTGGTGTGCCTTTTTCGGTTGTTCTCTCCCAGACCAGATGGACTAGCTGCTGAATGTTAAGCTGATACTCACTGACAAGGTCAAGAGTCACTGTTCTGATGTTTTGTTTTGTTTTCCAAGGCTTGGTTCTTTAAATAGATTGATGCATGGTAAAATGTGTTATTTGATGTATGCCATCATTTAAAAAAAAAACAAAAACATTTTGTGTAGGACACATCTTTATCTTGTCAGATGAGCAAAAGAAGTTTAAGTTCTTGCATCATGTGAAAATTACAATATGGTTGATTGAGAAAACATCTGTATGCAACCATTTCCTTTGATGTTTTACTTAAAAAAAAAAATCAGTTACAACCTATAGGATGGAATTTAAGCTCACTCTTTGGAAATATACTCGGCATTTAAGGATGTAATTAAATTTCAGTTCACTAGGACATGCCAGATCGTCCTCTAGTATCTGTATTTGCTCATATCCTCGCAGAATACTCTAGTGAACTTCCCCTGATGATAATAGCTTGATTTTCTTGAAAGGCCCTCACCGACTGTCCTGGGGCACACTCTTTCACACCACTGTTGCTCAGTCATCTACTTTACATGTCCACTGGTTGCATGAAGGGTGGATTTCTTAATATACGTGGCAAAAACAATATCATCTGTGTTGCATGCAACCTTCTTACAATTCCATCAAAAGCGCCAAACCTACCAGTTATTGTAATACTGTATGTAATGCAAATTTAAACCCTCTGCTGGTGAAGCACAAATGATGCTTTAAACGAGCGGGCCAGCAAAGAGGCTACAGCTCAGACGAGGTGTTGTGATTGTTTTAGCCGACAAACGCACACAAGCAACCTACTAATGTTCTATCCACCCTCCAATCTTTAGAGGGCGGATGCTACTTTTAACTCGGGACTAATATGGACAACAAGCACACCATTTGGGCAAGGGTAAACATTCATATCTCTACAACTTCTTATCGATGAAAACATTTCATAGTGGTGGCATGGTGTTGACGTGTCTTAACAAGCTCTCGCAAGGAATACTTGGGAATAAGAGATCGGCAGAGAGTTAAATAACTTAAAGCTGGAAGTAGAATCATAACAATTGAAAACGTTCCCATAGAGCAGCGGAGGAGCTAGTGTTGAACATATCACTAAGAGCATGTACTATACTGCTGTCCATGTGTATGCCGATAATGTCCCGCTAAAAAATGTCCTTGCTATATTGATGCATGCATGAGAAATCCATGGGTCTTTACAGTGCGCGCACATACAGAAGCACTAACATCGCACACCTCTGTGGGAACAGCTTCAGCTCAGTGTTGTGCAACTTTTATTTCTCTCTCTGGAAGTATTTGAAATCAATTAAAAGGATCCAGATTTCTATAAAAGCTCATTGTAATAATGCTTTGTAAACAGAAAGTGTTGTAGTGAACATTTGAGCTGAAGTGAACATGAACATTGTTAATAAACTATTTTTGCGAATAGACAGACCGGTCTCCTCAGTCCATTCTTGAACAGGACGATGCTGCTAAAGGAAATGATCAGGCACCACGGTGTAATATAATATACAGCAGATCAAAAAGTCAGTTTATTTTTTTAAAGTTTTGAATTGACATAAGTCATAAGACATACGGTGATGAATCAGTGTATTAAAATGATCTTCCATTCTTTTCCCATCTGTAGGACATTTTAGCATCTGTACAGCCATAGTTATGTTAACTGGGCTAAATAAACAGACCAGGTAAGTGTAAAAAGCCAAAGTTCACTGCTTCATTTTGCCACTGTGATTAGAAACAGAGGAGCATTTATTGCACTTAAATAGGTTCATAAAAGGATATGGTCTTAAATCATGTGCTGAAGCAGTAAGACAGAGAATAAAATAAAAGACTGACACTTGCTATGCATTCAAATGGCTTTAAATCCATCTGTCGCAGACGCTATGTCCTAGTTTAGAGGAAATGTTAATGCTCATTTTTCCACCCAGGGTCCACAAATTGCTGAATGGCACTCTCCTCTGGAACAGGACCTAGAACAAAGACAGACAAAATCTTAGCAAAAGATTTTTTTTTTTTTTTTTTGAAGAATACTCACTGGGAACGCTAAGTCCAGATGAACAGAATCAACTTTTGGAGACTCACTGGGAAAATGTTTTGTTCTAAATGCTTTTACATTTTAAGGTTTCAATCATGCAACTATTTACCTCAGCAAATAAAGCCTAAAGTCTGGAGAAAAAGACACATGCAACTGTCGAGTCTACTGTCTGCTGCAGTCCTACTGAGGCTAAAGCTGTACTCACATTCAGAATCCATGTTGATTTTCAGCGTCGCCAGTCTGGACACAATATCATCTTCCTCTTCCACATCGCTGAAGTCAAATCCAGTGTAGCCCTTCTCCTTCACACAGTAGCTGATGAACCTGTGAACAAAAAAGCAAAAATTAAGAAAACGTGAGTGAGAAATGCTCAAGAAATGTGCACTCCTTGTTAACTGGGCAAATTTTATACAGCCCAAAGGCTCCAAAATGGCAACAAAGTGAACAATTTGAGGTTGTTTTGTCAGCTGCTAACAATGAGTGTTTCACTTTCGGTAATCACTACGTTTACTCAGTGCCTCCCAAAACATCTTGCCTTCGCTTACTTCTCCCATGTTGGGTCCTTCTTGAGGATCACAGGGTTTCCCACCACTATAAGCAGGGACCTGGCTCTCGTCAAGGCTACGTTGAACCTCTACAAGTGAATACATATATACAAAAAAAGAATATATTAGTAATTTATTCAACCATTAAAGAAGCAGCAGGCTTTCTTATAAGTTTAAATGATGTGACAAACCTTTTCATTTGACAGGAACCCAATATTGAAGTCTCTGTCCATCTTGACATAGTTGATGCTGCTACGGACGGTGGAGACCATAATGATCTTCCTCTCTTGTCCCTGAAACTCCTCCACAGAGCCGACCTGATATTATAAAGGGGGGGTGCACTTTACCATCTACCATCTAATAAAACTTTAATCTTATAACTGTTAAATGCATCCTCAATAATTAAATTACACTTCTGATTAGAAATAAACAGCAGATCAATCTTTTGATTACATTTTATTAAAACAATTTAGAAGACACGGTAAATGAGCATCTTAGGTTTGCATGGGGGCATATAACCATATTAACTGACACAGATCATTTACAGCAGAGCTGCTAACCTTCAGCTCTTTGAGATCACTCCAGCGACTCAGTGCTGGGACAAATCTCAGGGCCTTCTGGATTTTCTCAACCTGTTAGCAAAAAGAAAAGCAGTCATGGGAAGTTATGAATGAACCAAACAACCTCCTTTTATCCTCAGTCATTTAACACAAATGTGCACCATGCATATTCACTTGTTTTCTGTAGGGGGCGATTATTCCGATGTCTGTTGCAGACAGTTTGGGGAGACCCTTCTTTCCTTGCGTTTCCATCAGTTTGGTGAGGTAGTCGATCAGGACTTCAATCTCAGACACGTTGAAGAAAGACGGACTGTTCGCCTCTCTCTCATCTTTGCCCATCACTCCATGGAAGATCACTGGAAAACCCTGTAGTGGGGTAGCACTGTCAGTTATTCTTGTTAAATATGGTTCAAATACAATTTGGCGACTGACTCCTTAGTGAAATTAAAAATGTGAATTAAAACTACACATGAATTGTACACGTGAGCACTCCCATAAGGTCTATGAAGTTTTAAGAAAAATTGTACTTTTACAACATGAGTTGTTTTCATGTTTTAATATCTACTTTTGTTTCAGCCAGTCTTTTTTCTTCCATCTTCAGCATCCTTTATCCAAAATATATCCACTATCCCTCCTCTGGACATCTCCAAAACAAACCCCTGCAAACTTCGTCTCCAAAACCAGTCAACCAAACTTGTCCCTCTGATATACTCATTTCTAATCTGGTCCCTCATGTACCAGCAACTTCCAGCTTGGCCCTCTGTCTCCACCCACTCCACCCTGCCTGCGCCTCCTTCTTCACCTCTCTTGTGCACTTTTTTGTTCTTTGCATAGACGAGACCCATCTCACCCAGCTTCACTACTTCTGCTCCCTCTCATTCAAACATGTCATCTATCTTGCTTCTACTGACTTTAGCATACCTCCACCTTTCCTCTACTCACAA